ACTTTAGCCTGTTTAAAATGATTGATTTCATCAGGTATGTAAGACACAGAATCTCCACTAGATGGCAGTGTTCACCTACAATTCGCAAAGATGTTTATCTCCAGTAGTCTGTAAACAACCAGTGGCAAAAAATAGATTTAGGCTGTTTTTATGATGGTAAAGTTTGCACATTCGTTTTTGTGCAAAATTTTAATATAAATTTATTTCTAAAAAATATTTTACAACGCCTTTTTCATTGATCTAATCAATTTTCTTCGGCTAAATATCTAATAAAGATGCAAACGCATTTTTACCTATTAAAATTAGAAGAAAATATACCTAATGAAAATGCGTATTTGTTTGTTTTAAAAAAGGACGTCAAAAACTCTATTTTAAAACGAGTTTACCTTTAACATAACGTAGATAAAATTCAACCAAGTCCATATTTTATTGCAGGGACGGACTTTAACACATTGGACTGTAAAACACAACCTGGATATCATGCCGGAATTTACTTTTATACTTATATACAACCACATGAAGACGCACACATTATATATAATAATAAAAAAAACAAAGCAAGGATTGATATGAAGACATCTCCACGATTATCTAAGCATTATAATAAGAATTGCACCACGGACTGGATGTGGATGAAAGTACGGATTTCATATGATAAGATTAAGACTTCATAAAGAAGCAAAGCGTAAGAATAGCATTTTCCAAAAGATGCCAGGAGCTGATTAATATTTAACCTTCCCAAGGTCCAAATCCAAACCAGCAGAGCTTCCTGTCAATCTTCCATTTATCGCCCTTGTTAAAGATAAAGGTGTAGCTCGGTGGCGCACACATCCTTTCAACAGAGGTCAGTTTATTTTCATGCTTTAAAAAGTGAGCATGCCAAAAAAAAAAGGAGTAAAAAAAAAAGGGAGAAGTCACACTTAATACAGCTATATTCTAGTTTTTCTTCTTTCCCACTTAATATTTAACAACATGTGAGGGGAATGGAGGGTCCGGCCTTCACAGGCCCCGGGCAGTTTTGTTCCACAGGCTCCGGAAAACATTTGCCTGAAACACATTTGAATAATGTTCAGTCAAGAAGGAGCGTGTTATTCCAATCCATGTGTCCCGAAACTGCAGTGTGTCTGTACCTCCAACTGATTGTGTCCATAATGAGAATAACCAATTATTTCATAATAAAAAAATAATAATATTAATAATAAAAACTAGCTGATCGTTTTCAATTTGTTGACAACTTTCTTCTCCTTTACGCGTCTGTTCTGAAACCATATAGTGACCTGGCGCTCGGACAGGTTGGTCTGAGCCGATATCCTCCTCCGTTTGTCCTTCGTGATAAATTTATTGGCGCCGTACTCGCGCTCGAGCTCCTTCAGTTGCACCTTGGTGTATGGCACGCGCTTCTTTCTTCCGCGTCGGAAAGAGCCGGAGTCTCCCCCGGCGTGAGACACTGCGTCTGACAGAAGTGGGAGGAAAAAAAAAAAGAAAACAGAATATAAGATGTCAGAATCTGCTCCATTTTATAGATTTCCTTACAGTAAATACAAATACAAATGACATTTTCAAAGTTGCTTTGATAGAAAATAAAATATGTGAAGTTTTTCTGGAATTATATTCAATATTTTCAGTTTTTTGTACTTTTTCCAACAAAAAACACTGGCACAAATTAGCTTTAAAATTGAAATAATTCATTTGCGCCACTCTTGGCTTCATCCTGATGACTTGTTTGTGGGAAACAATTCACGGAATTATGATTTTGCTCTGCAGGTTGAAGCAGTTTGCTACATTCACGTGTCTCGCGCGGTGGGAATCGTGCTTTTTACTGTACAATGGCGCGCAAAACATGCCAAACAGCTCTGTCCTGTTGAGGCTGCCAGCAGCTCAGCCTACCTGGTATGGACGACTTCCACATGTGTCCAGGCTGGGGCTGCTCCTTGGCGCAGTAAACCTGGCTGTTCCAGGCGTTGGGGGCCAGAGTCCACGGCTGGTAGCTCTCCATGGGCAGCAGGGACTCGTGCCTGGCTTCTGACGGCGCGCTGATAGTTGGCACCACGGGCACGTCCAGGTAGCTGGGGACAGGTTGGTAAGGTCCTGATGGGTAGGTGGAATAAAAAGCAAACTCCTTCGGCCGGGAGGAGAAGTCGTCGCCCGGGGCGGCCGTGTCCATGTATTTGTCTCCATAAGCGGAGGGGGGCTGCGCTCCCTTCACGCTGCTGTGATGAGACATCCTGCACGGGTAGCCGAAGTAGCCGTACGGCAGGGAGGCGCCGGGTGGGTTCTGCGCAGCGGAGCAGGGGCTGCACTGCTTCACGGGCTCGCTCACGCCGGAGGGGGGCACGTCGCCCGACGGGTAGCCGGACGCCAGGGAGGCGGTGTGCGCCATCAGGTTCCTGCACTGGTTCGCCGCGAAGTTGCCACCCGCGAAGCCCTCCATGTTCTTGCTCACTTCATCGCCGTTGTCGTAGAGGAACATCACCGACGGGTCGACCCAGCGCGGACGGAGGAGCAGTGACGTTGTCATAGCACGGCATCCAACATCGAGGCTTCTGACTCGTTTTTAAAAAAGCCCAGAGAGTGAAAGAGAGGGAGAGAAAAAAAAAACAGAAGAAGAAGAAGGAGCGACGCGGTTCCTCGGGGAGTAAAGGCAGCTCTGACGCGCACAGGGAGCGCACGGGGTCGCGCTCCGATTGGGCAGGGCGGGGCCACGTGACCCGGCTATGCAAAGAGGACGGTAAACATCAGCAGATAATTAAATGGAAAATAATGCGGCGAAAAGGAAAAAGTGGGGGGAGGTGGAGCTGGGGCTGGGGGTCTCATACCTTTTCAAAGGATTTCTCTTTCGTCTTTTCTGATTTCACTCAGGCGGTGATTTGTTTTCCTGCTGAACGCGGCGCAGCAGACATGAAACAAACCTTTTACATCAAAAGTATGAATCATCTCACCATCTCAAACACAATGAACTGCTCATCTTTACGTTTTAAATGTTTAAATCTACATTTGCAGCTCAAATAAGAGTTCCTACGTGACACGGTGTCTTTTAACAAATCGGTTAGGATTGAGACTTTACGCACACAGAGTTCTCTTTGTTTTCAGACGGGATCAGGGTTATAACACGATCAGATAGAAGAGTTGAATCAGTTGTTGTCAAACCCACAGCTTCAATATTCATTGGGCTCATTTTTTATAGATTTACTTCAGATGCAAAGTGAAAAACGCGTCGTTGGAACATTTTGCGCATTTGCTGCTGCCCTCACCCTGAATCATTTCCCTACGAGGCATCACGGTAATTCTTCACAAAACAAATGGCTCCTGATTTATTATCGTTCTGCTGGTAAAAAAAAAAAAAAAAACAAAAACAAATGATTTATCTTCCAGACTCTCGACTTCCGACTTGTTTACAACATGCAAAGCCCGGAGAGAAGCTCTCTAGCCTCGGCTGGGTTTTTTTTTTACATGCAGGCGGAGGTGGACGCGGCTGGAGGCCAAGGTCAAGTTGAAAGTCTAGTTGCTGTCTGGACGTCCAGCCCGTCGCACCATTATAGGCTTTGAAGGGCCCCCAGTCTGCTGGGCTCTTGAAAAGAGCGGAAGAGGAGTGAGAATTCCTGTCCCAATGAAAAGCTATTGGAGGGCATTAAGTTTTACTATCATTTCTTGTTTTTCTCCCACGAGAACCAGTCTGTGCATGCTGCACGCTGGCTGCATCTTTTTAAAGATTACTTTGTGTTCTAGTATTTAAAAAAAAGATCTAATAAAATGAAATAAAAATGCAAAACTTGTGTTGTGTCTTGTTTAAACTGGCGGCTCTTGTGGAGGTGTTTCATTTGGCAGAGATGTGCGAAAACGACGATGATCTTTGAGTGTGTGTGTGTGTGTGTGTGTGTGTGTGTGTGTGTGTGTGTG